GTAAGGAGGGAGGTTATAGAAGAGAAGGGTGGAGTAAGGAGGGAGGTTGTATGAGAAGGGTGGAGTAAGGAGGGAGGTTGTAGAGGAGAAGGGTGAAATAAGGAGGGAGGTTATAGAGAAGGGTGGAGTATAGAGGGAGGCTGTAGAGGAGAAGGGTAGAGTAGGGAGGGAGGTTGTAGAGAAGAAGTCAGATCAGAGGGAAGGACTTGGTTAAGGCAAGAGGGTCTGTGGTGCTAGTGAGAACTCTTAGAGAGACAATATAAAGAGATATCCAGACTTTTCATCCACTTGAGAATTCATAATAGTCTGTACTAAGTTATCTGTATGTTCCCAGACTTCCCAGAGAGTAATCAAATTTTCTTCCAAAATCAGGGTCAATATTCCAGTAACTAGTAATCAGTAAGAATATATAATTCGTATACTTAATTCACTTGAATACTAATTTTAATAAACAATCTTCTATTCTCTTTTATTGTGGTTTGAAGTTATCTCTAAGAAATGCTTAATCATACGTTAAGTGGTTAGTGTTATCGCTATAAGTGAACCCAAGTGATTACTAAGTGGTAAGGAGGCATCTTTACACTTACTAGCAACCTAAATGGGTTTCAGAGTTGTCATTCATTAAGTGACACATTAAATGAATTTACTAAATAGGTGGCCCCCTTAAGTTAATTAACTCTGCCAAGGATAATGGCATCACCCTCCGTTCACCCTCAGTATGACATGTTTTATTCTGGGTTTATGTTCTTTTTCCAGATGTCAGATTTGCTACTTTTTTTTTTTACCACACCAGCTGTCTTCCATGGAAGCAAGGTGACCCAAAAAGCAAAAATGCATTCACCATTATTCATTAACCCTTTGACTGTTTCGGTTGTACATATACGTCTTACGAGCCAATGTGTTTGACGTATATACACTCAAAAATTCTAGCGGCTTCAAATCAAGCAGGAGAAAGCTGGAAGGCCCACATGTGAGAGAATGGGTCTGTGGTGAGTGTGCACCATATAAAAAAAATCCTGCAGCACGCGGTGCACGAGAAAAAAAAAACTCCGTGTTTTTGGATTAAAATGCCGACTTTGAGGTGTATTTTCGTATAGTTTTAATGGTTACATTCTCATTTTTGTGGTCACATTTGATAGAATAGAAAACATATAAAAATAGAGGTGATTTTGATTGGTTTTACTATAAGAACATAAGAACATAAGAAAGGAGGAACACTGCAGGAGGCCTGTTGGCCCATACTAGGCAGGTCCTTTACAATTCATCCCACTAACAAAACATTTGCCCAACCCAATTTTCAATGCCACCCAAGAAATAAGCTCTGATGTGAAAGTCCCACTCAAATCCAACCCCTCCCACTCATGTACTTATCCAACCTAAATTTGAAACTACCCAAAGTCCCAGCCTCAATAACCCAACTAGGTAGACTGTTCCACTCATCAACTACCCTATTTCCAAACCAATACTTTCCTATGTCCTTTCTAAATCTAAACTTATCTAATTTAAATCCATTACTGCGGGTTCTCTCTTGGAGAGACATCCTCAAGACCTTATTAATATCCCCTTTATTAATACCTATCTTCCACTTATACACTTTGATCAGGTCTCCCCTCATTCTACGTCTAACAAGTGAATGTAACTTAACCCTTTGACTGTCGCAACCCCCAATCCTGAGGTGTCTCCTGGCGTCGCAAAATTTAAAAAAAAAAAAAAATATTTTTTCTTATGAAATGATAGAGAATCTTTTCCCGATTGTAATGACACCAAAAAACAAAATTTGACGGAAAACTGACGGAATTATGCTCTCGCGAAGTTAGCGACCTCGGCGCTGTTTACAAATCGGCGATTTCGCCCACTTTGAGCCCTATTTTCGGCTAATTCCATTGTTCCAGTCGCCCAAACTCATAGCTATTTCTTTAGAACTCCATTTTTTCTATTGATTGAGTACAAGAAACTCCCCATTTACCGATTTCAACTACCTAATAATGTGGTCAGAAATTTGCAATTTGGCCAATTTCACAAAAAATAAAAAATATGACAATTTCAAAATAAGGTCCAGAATGAACAATGCAGACATTCCTGGCTCTGAAATAACATTTTCTTTGCTCATCAGTTATGTCTCCAGGCCCCTCTGATATTACTCTTGCTTTCTATTTTGAATTTTTATTCAAACAAAAAATAGAAGACTTACTATTATGCAGACTACGGCAATACTGTAATAATTGTATAAATAACATCAACCCATTCATGACTGCATATTAGAATGGCTAGTTGGACATTTATTGGACAATGGCATCATTTGTTTACTTTTGAACATTGGCAAAAATCAAACATTTCCCCTATTTTGAGCTCCATTTCTAGGTTCTTTTTATAGTAAAATCAATCAAAATCACCTCTATTTCTATAACATGTTTTCCATTCTATCAAATGAGACCAAGAAAACGAGAATACAATCATAAATACTATACGAAAATAGACCACAAATTCTGCATTTTAATTAAAAAATCGGTCGAGTTTTTTTTTCTCATTATGCACTGCGTGCTCCAGGATTTCTTTTATATGGTGCACACTGATCACACAGACCCATTCTCTCACATGTGGGCCTACCAGCTTTCTCCTGCTTGATTTGAAGCCGCTAGAATTTATGAGTATATATACCTCAAACACGGTACCTCGTAAGACATATATATACGGCCGCGACAGTCAAAGGGTTAAGAGTCTTCAATCTTTCTTCATAAGGAAGATTTCTAATGCTATGTATTAATTTAGTCATCCTACGCTGAATGTTTTCTAACGAATTTATGTCCATTCTGTAATATGGAGACCAGAACTGAGCTGCATAAGCTAGGTGAGGCCTTACTAATGATGCATAAAGCTGCAGTATGACCTCTGGACTTCTGTTGCTTACACTTCTTGATATAAATCCCAGTAATCTATTTGCCTTATTACGTACGCTTAGGCATTGCTGTCTTGGTTTAAGGTTGCTGCTCACCATAACCCCCATGTCCTTTTCGCAATCTGTATGGCTAAGTTCTACATCATTTAACTTATAAGTTCTAGGGTTATGGGCACTCCCAAGCTTCAGAACCTTGCATTTATCTACATTGAACTGCATCTGCCACTTTTCTGACCAAGAATAGTTTGTTTAAATCCTCCTGAAGTTCCATAACATCTACGTTTGAATCAATTATCCTACCTATCTTTGTGTCATCAGCGAATTTGCTCATATCACTAGTAATTCCCTCATCAAGATCATTGATATATATTATAAACAACAACGGGCCCAAGACTGATCCCTGTGGAACGCCACTTGTTACAGATCCCCACTCGGATTTAACCCCATTTATGGACACTCTCTGCTTCCTGTCAGTGAGCCATGACTCGATCCACGAGAGCACTTTTCCCCCAATGCCATGAGCTGCCACTTTCTTTAACAGTCTATGGTGCGGAACTCTATCAAAAGCCTTACTAAAATCTAAGTAAATAATACCAAATTCTTTATCGTGGTCAACAGCCTCAAAAGCTTTACTGAAGAAAGTTAATAAATTTGTTAGACAAGACCGGCCTCTTGTGAATCCATGCTGAGTATCATTAATCAAGCTATGCTTATCGAGATGGCTTCTTATAATCTCAGCTATAATTGACTCTAGTAATTTGCCTACAATTGAGGTCAGGCTTATAGGGCGGTAATTTGACGGTAACGACTTGTCCCGTTTTAAAAATAGGAATTACATTAGCCATCTTCCACATATCAGACACTACACCTGTTTGAAGAGATAAATTAAAAATATTAGTTAATGGTTCACAGAGTTCCATTTTGCATTCCTTAAGAACCCTTGAAAAAACCTCATCAGGACGTTGAAATGGAGCTCAAAGTAGGGGAAATGTTTGATTTTTGCCGATGTTCAGGAGTAAACAAATGATGTCATTGTCCAATAAATGTCCAACTAGCCATTCTAATATGCAGTCATGAATGGGTTGACATTATTTATACAATTATTTCAATATTGCAGTAGTCTGCATAACAGTAAATTTCATATTTTTTGTCTGAATAAAAATTCAAAATAGAAAGCGAGAGTAATATCAGAGGGGCCTGCAGACATGACTGATGAACAAAGAAAATGTTGTTTTAGAACCAGGAATCTCTACATTGTTTATTCTGGACCTTATTTTGAAACTGGCATATTTTTTAATTTGCGTGAAATTGTCCAAATTGCCAATTTTTGATCACTTTATTGGGTAGTTGAAATCAGTCAATTGGCAGTTTCTTGTTCTTAATCGATAGAACAAATGGAGTTCTAAAGAAATGGTTATGAGTTTGGTTGACTGGAACAATGAAATTAGCCAAAAATTGGGCTCAAAGTGGGCGAAATTGCCGATTCGTAAATATCGCCGAGGTTGCTAACTTCATTAGAGTGTAATTCTGTAAGTTTCCCATCAAATTTTATACTTCTGGTGTCATTATCATTGGGAAAAAATTCTCAATCATTTCATAAGAAAAAATAATTTTGGGGGGATTTGGGATTGCGACAGTCAAAAGGTTAGTGCTGTTTTGCCAAAAGTGTGCAGACATCAACTTTAATGACTGAATGAACTGCATCAGTTGCACTTGGGTTTTTAACCTTGAGTCAGAGTTGTCAAATGTTTTACAAGATGCAATTTTCTTGAGAATCTTTTATGCCAGCAGTTCTTAACCCTTTCAGGGTTTTGGCCGTGCTAGTATGACTTAAGTCCCAGGGTTTTTGACGTACTAGTATGCCTAAATTCTAGCGCCCTCAAATCTAGTGAGAGAAAGCTGGTAGGCCTACATATGAAAGAATGGGTCTGTGGTCAGTGTGTGCAGTATAGAAAAAAATCCTGCAGCACACAGTGCGTAATGAGAAAAAAAACTTTGACCGTATTTTTGGATTAAAACAGCGACTTTGCACTGTATTTTCATATGGTATTTATTGTTGTATTCTTGTTTTCCTGGTCCCATTCTATACAATGAGACCAGGAAAACTAGAATAGAACAAAAAAATGCCATACGAAAATACAGTTCAAAGTCGCTGTTTTAAACCAAAAACACGGTCAGTTTTTTTTTTTCTCATTATGCATTGTGTGCTGCAGGATTTTTTTTATACTGCACACACTGACCACATAGACCCATTCTTTCATATGTAGGCCTACCAGCTTTCTCTTGCTAGATTTGAGGGTGCTAGAATTTATGCATACTAGTACATCAAAAACCCTGGTGCGTAAGCCGTACTAGTACTGCTGAAACCCCGAAAGGATTAAATGTCATATACAGTGGACCCCCGGTTAACGATATTTTTTCACTCCAGAAGTATGTTCAGGTGCCAGTACTGACCGAATTTGTTCCCATAAGGAATATTGTGAAGTAGATTAGTCCAGTTCAGACCCCCAAACATACACGTACAAATGCACTTACATAAATACACTTACATAATTGGTCGCATTCGGAGGTGATCGTTATGCGGGGGTCCACTGTACTACCATTATTGATTTATAATTGGCAGTTGAAATATGGTACACAAACTAACACTAGTGCCAGGTTTATATTCTGTACCAGGAATCAGCATGTATTACACATGTAGGCCTCCGACACAATGGTTAACCAAATACTGTGGACCCTCGACCAACGATGGCATCGACTAACGTTAAATCCGACCAGTGATACATTTTAACGCAAAAATTTTGTCTCGACTAGCGCTAAAAAACTCGCTCAACGCGATCCGTCTGAGACGCGTCCACATGCGGCCTGAGCCAGCCTCACTTGTTCCGTGGGTGGCAGTGTCTACAAGCCAGCCTCCGCGGTCACATCCAAGCATACAATCGGAACATTTCATATTATCAGTGTTTTTTCAGTGATTTCACCTGCAAAATAAGTGACCATGGGCCCCAAGAAAGCTTCTAGTGCCAACCCTGTGGTAAAAAGGGTGAGAAGTACTATCGTACCACCAGGCCCGGTGGCCTGGTGGCTAAAGCTCCCGCTTCATACACGGAGGGCCTGGGTTCGATTCCCGGCGGGTGGAAACATTTCGACACGTTTCCTTACACCTATTGTCCTGTTCACCTAGCAGCAAATAGGTACCTGGGTGTTAGTCGACTGGTGTGGGTCGCATCCTGGGGGACAAGATTAAGGACCCCAATGGAAATAAGTTAGACAGTCCTCGGTGATGCACTGACTTTCTTGGGTTATCCTGGGTGGCTAACCCTCTGGGGTTAATCGTTTCTCGGTAATTGTTTCATGTTAAGCCATACCAACAACACACACTCCACATCTTCGAGTAATACAGCTGATGGTGGTGCAGCAACAGCAACAGCTGACTGTGGTGCAGCAACAGCTGACCATGGTGCAGCAGCAGCTGCGGTGCAGCAGCAGCTGACTGTAGTGCAGCAACAGCTGACCGAGGTGCAGCAGCAGCTGACTGTGGTGCAGCAGCAGCTGACTGGTCCAGCAACAGCTGACAGGTAAGATAAGATAAGATAAGATTTCGTTCGGATTTTTAACCCCGGAGGGTTAGCCACCCAGGATAACCCAAGAAAGTCAGTGCGTCATCGAGGACTGTCTAACTTATTTCCATTGGGGTCCTTAATCTTGTCCCCCAGGATGTGACCCACAACAGTTGACTAACACCCAGGTGAACAGGAAAAAATGCCTGGAACTAGTGCTCATATTGGTGAGGTTAGTGGGGAGGATGTGGAAGAGTTGGTGGAGGAAGACAATTAAGAACTAACCACTGATGAGCTGCTAGACCATCTTCAACAGCAAGATGCCAGACCTGAGGAAACTGCTTCAGAGGAGGGGAGAGAGAAATTGAATAAGTTGCCTACTTCAAAGATTAAGGAAATGTGTGCAATGTGGCTTAAAGTGCAAACCTTTTTTGATAAAAATCACCCTGACACAGCTATTGCAAGCCGTGCTGGTGGCTATTACACTGACAATGTTGTGAAACACTTTAGGAAAGTCATAAAGGAACGAGAGGTACAGGGCACTATGGACAGATATGTTGTGCGACAGAGGTCCAGTGACACTCAAGCTGGTCCTAGTGGCATTAAAAGAAGGGAAGTAACCCTGGAAAAGGACTTGCTATCTCAAGTCCTAATGGAATGGGATTCCCCTTCTAAACACTAAGACCATCCACACTCTCCCCTCCTCCCATCCAATCAATCATCACAAGATCTTCAATAAAGGTAAGTGTCATGTATTGTACATCTCTTCTTCAGTTTGTGTGTATTAAAATTAATATTTCATGTGGTAAAAAATTTTTTTTTCATACTTTGGGGTGTCTTGCACGGATTAATTTGATTTCCATTATTTCTTATGGGGAAAATTAATTCGGCTAACGATAATTTTGCCTAACGCTGAGCTCTCGGGAACGGATTAATATCGTTAGGCGAGGGTCCACTGTATAGTACACTCATTATTTACCTTAAAATATGTGTAGTCATAATGTAGGATGAGAGGTGAGTAGTATTTATTTGTAGGAAGTCAGGCACTGATAGCCGGTAGATGTAGGTAGCCAGGGCTACATAACCATACAATATTTAATGCAGCCCATAGCCATATTATTACCATTGACATACTGTGTTCACTGAGTTCAATCGTTTCTAACAACTACCTTCAGATGCCATCATAAATGAAGGGAGAAATAATGAATAATTCACGCCGAGAATTGTAAACAAAAGCGTGAGTGACTAGGCCAAACGCAGATTCATACATGTTTTGTCTGGTTCTGGACCAGAGAAAATGTAATGTCTTCTTTCTGCCTGGCTACCACCCCTCCATAGCATATAAACATAGCATGTTTATTTGCTATGTAATGTGTTTCTTATATAATTTTGAAGAAAATATCATACATGGATTAATGAAAATGTCTATATTAACATAAAATAATGTAAAAGTCGAACCTGGTGAGCTTCAACCAGGTCCAAATAAGGAATAGAGACAGAAAAAAGAAGGGGACTCTTCTTCCAAACAATAACATTTCCTCCTCCTCCCTTCTCAGCACTATCCTAGTAGTCACTCGACTCTTTTCAGCAAAGTATAGCGAGGTTAAATTTGCATTTATTTCATCTAATTCTTCTGTATTTATGTATGGATTTTAGTATTAAGCAGTGTTTAAATTACATATTTTAGTATTAAGCAGTGTTTAAATTATTTTATATAACCCCATCAATGTATAAAATGCCAGTAACAACAGGATTTTTTTTTCATGGGAACGGATTAATCATTTTCCTCAGATTTCTTATGGGAAAATTCGTTTGGTATACATCCTGTTTGGTACAAGTCTTGGAACATAATAAGGACGTATACTGAGGTACCATCGTATTCCTCTCTTCTTGCATCATTTCTATTTTGTAAAACCTCTCATATGCTAACTTTTTCTCTCTTACTACTCTATTTACTTCATTCCACCAATCGCTCTTCTTCCATCCTGCACCCACTTTCCTGTAACCACAAACTTCTGCTGAATACCCTAACCTTATATTTTTAAATCTACCCCATACCTCTTCAACCTCATTGCCTATACTCTCACTACCCCATCTTTCTTAAATTTATATATTGTGCTTTTGCAATTTGCTCATTAGACTTTTGAATAGTTGAAAATAATAAAGCTACGAATGAAAACTAGTTTGTCAAATTTCCTATTTAAATAATGAGGACTTTTTTTTTTTATTTTTTTTTTTTTACATTTAGAATTTGATACGAAAGAAGGGGGTGTGGAAGATGAACAGTGATGGGGGGGGGCAAGACTCGGAATACGTTAAGAAGCACTGTTTTAGGCACTAAACACTGCTACTGATTCCCTTTTGTATATGAGTCCTCATGTGACTCACTAGGTTAGTTTTATGCAAAAACCTTTTAAGACACCTTGAACACCGATATGGTTGCTCTCTGCTGTGACTTCTCATGTGCTTTTCTAGACTTAATTTCTTGGCAAAGTTTTCTGAACACACTGAGCACTTGTATGGCTTCTCTTTAGTATGAGTTTTTATATGTTTTATTAAACTTGCTTTCACTGAAAATTCTTTCTGACACTCTGAACACTTGTATGGTTTCTCTCCTGTATGAACTCTGACATGCTTAATTAAACTTGCTTTTATTGAAAAGTCTTTGTGACACTCTGAACACTTGAATGGTTTATGTCCTGTATGGACTGTCATATGACCAACTAGAGCACAGTGTTTTGAAAATGCTTTTGTACACTCTGGACACTGATATGGCTTCTCTCCTGTATGACTGCACATATGTTTTACTAGAGAGCTTTTTATTGAAAACCTTTTAGGACACACAGAGCAATGATATGGTTTCTCTCCAGTATGAACTCTCATATGTACATCTAAGTGGCCACTTTGTTTAAAGTCTTTTTGGCACACTAAACACTGAAATGGTTTTTCCCCTGTATGAACTCTCTGATGTTGTTTTAGTGATGATTTATCATTAAAATCTTTGAGACATTCTAAACACTGAAATGGTTTCTCTCCTGTATGAAGTCTCTGATGTTGTTTTAGTGAGGATTTAGCACTAAAGTTTTTTTGACACACTGAACAATGATATGGTTTCTCTCCTGTATGAATTCTCTTGTGTTTTTTTAGTGAGAATTTATCACTAAATTCTTTTAGACATGCTGAACACTGATATGGTTTCTCTCCAGTATGAGTTCTATGATGTCTCAGCAGTTTAGAACTACAAGGAAAAACTTTTTGACAAACTAGACATTGAAGAGACTTCTTTAGTGCATGAGCCCTCATATTTGCTTTATTTTATTTCAAGTTTTGAACACTAAGTAGATATATAATGCATTGTAGGCTATAGAGTAGTGCACATTACACAGATAACCCGCACATAGGAGAGTGAAACTTAGAGCAACATTCCGGTCTGACTTGGATCATTAACAAGTCACACACAAATGCAAAGGGTTTATTTGTGTATTGTTTCAATAACACTATTGTGTCTTTTTATTCTTTCTCTCGCATTAATTTTGCTAACATCTTCTAAGACTGTAAACAATTGTTTGTTTACATCATGAGCAAACACACATCTATGGAGTAGACTTTTAATACTTAAATATTTTTGTGGTTTCTCTTCTATAATTATTCATATTTAATAACTTCTTTCCCCATTCACTCATATACCTATAAACATTAAGACGAAGTGGGGCAGTGCAAAACATTAATGGGCCGGTAGCCATTATCAAAAGCAAATATTATTGTAACTCTCATTTGATAAAATTTTAAGTTCTCTGTGATCAACTAATTTTTAAGTAAGCACTAGTAGGTACTAGTGAAGTGGGTACTAGTGCAGGTCAAGTTATTAAAGTGGGTACTAGTGCAGGTCAAGTTACTGAAGTGGGTATTAGTGCAGGTCAAGTTGCTGAAATGGGTACTAGTGCAGGTCAAGTTACTGAAGTGGGTTTACACATGTGAGGGTATACACAGCTTTATTAAACTGTTGGTTAAGGATATGTGAGAGTATGTTACATTATTATCCCTCTCATGGGAGGGGAGCACTAAACCAGTAGGGGGTCATGCATCACCTGGAAGCCAATGAAGATTGATCCAAGGAGAGATTAGGTCCAGTTCCTTGGATCAAGAGCCTCTCACTGGCATCAAGAAACTTTCCTTGAAGGCTCTGATATTGTAGGATGCTTCACCAAATTTGCTGTAGACACTAATTGTACTCGAGTGTTTCTGAGAGTGTTGACACTAGTTGTACTCAGTAATTCCACCATGTACTTGAGTTTGATGACACTGGGTTTTGGTAGTGTATGTTCACAGCTTCACTGACAGTTTAAGCAGCAGCTGTAAAAGAAAAAGTTGTATGAGAACACTTAGTGAAATTACTACCTATAAAATATTAAGATTATTTGATGTTCTGGGTATGTTTATTCTGCAAATCATATTATTTATAATTTACACCACCATTCCTTCCAGCTTTGCCTCTGCAATGTAAGTGTCCCATAACTCGATCGCTAGTGCACTTGGCACTCACACTGAGGTCTGGAGATCAAATCCCCAGTACGGCTGGAAAACATTAGGATGTGTTTCCTTAAGACACCTGTTGTCCATGTTCACCCATCAGTGTAAAATGGGTACCTGGGTGTTAGTCGACTGGTGTGGATTGCATCCTGGGACAAAACTGACCTAATTTGCCAGAAATGCTCAGCATAACAAGTGGCTTTCTATATAGTAGTATGTCACTGATGTCAGCTATGGTCTGTATACCTTGTACATGTACTGGTAGAAATAAAGATATAGTATTATTATTATTATTTTTTTTTTTTCAAAGAGAAAAGTCACTGACAAATTTGCAGTGATTTAATGTAAGTTTGCATATTTTTCTCCTCGGAGGATAAATATATGGCCCTTGAATAAACAGAAGTGTGGACAAGGGACTTAAACTGCAGTTCATAGACAGTCCAATGCTCTACTGTCTAGGCTAACCCAGTTGTTTATTACAACTTAATTTGAGTTCACAGATGACGTGGCCTTGAGGGGGCAAAAACAGATCTATTGTTAAAGCTTCTGAGCTGAGGGAAGGAGTTCAGTTAGGTTATGGTTGGTGCCTCTGACGGAATGTAATACAGTAAGTATAATCTCTGAATCCTTCCTATTAGAGGCCTGGGTTAGCCTAGATGGTACAGTGTTGGGCTGTCAATTTACAGATTATGGTTTGAGTCTCTCATCCACCCTTCTCTTTATTCATTGACAGTTCTTCATTACAACTTAATTTGAGTTCATATGGACTTTGTATGTACAGTGGACCCCCGACTTATGATATTAATCCGTTCCTGAGAGCTCATCGTAAGCCGAAATTATCGTTAGCCTAATTAATTTTCCCCATAAGAAATAATCGAAATCAAATTAATCCATTCCTGACACCCCAAAGTATGAAAAGAAAAATTTTTGTACCACATGAAATATTAATTTTAATATACACAAACTGAAGAAGATATGCACAATTACTACTGTACTAAGAATAGAACACATGACACTTGCCTTTATTGAAGATCTGGTGATGATTGATGGGATGGGAGGAGGGGTTTGTGGAAGTTATTGTTTAGAAGGGGAATTCCCTTCCATTAGGAGTTGAGGTAACAAATCCTTTTTCGGGGTTACTTCCCTTCTTCTTTTAATGCCACTAGGACCAGCTTGACCTCTGTCGCACAACAAATCTGTCCATAGAGCTCTGTACCTCCCGCTCCTTTAAGACTTTCCTAAAATGGGCCATAACATTGTCATTGTACAGGTTGCCAACACAGCTTGCAGTAGCTGTGTCAGGGTGATTTTCATTCGTAAAAGTTTGTAGTTCAACCCACTTTGCACACATTTCCTTAATCTCTTTTTTCAATTCCATACTAATTCTTGCCCCTTTTTACCACAGGGATGGCACTAGAAGCTTTCTTGGGGTCCATGGTGACTTATTTTGCAGTTACAAGCACTAAAAGCACTGGGATAATGTGAAATGTACTGAATGTATGCGTAGATGCGACCGCACTGGCTGGCTTGTAAACACTGGCGCTGAGGCCACACGTGGGACACGTCCCGGATGAATCACATAAGGCGAGTTTTTATCGTGAGGCAAGGCAAAATTTTTGCGTTCAAATGCTTCGTATGGCAGATTTAACGTAATGCGATGCGTTTGTAAGGGGTGGGTCCACTGTATATAATTTAGCGGCAATAAACAAAAGTTCAGATATATGCTGAGACTTCGAACTACTGAAGAAGGCAGCAGAACACCCTGAAACCTTGTGAACAGTTAATGAAACTCTGGCCTGTGGTTGTATATACAGTGAAACCTTGGTTTTCGTTTGCCCTGGTTTTCGTCGAATTCAGTTTTTGATGACTTTTTTCGTCAAAATTTTGTCCCAGATTTCATTCATCACCTCAGTTTTCATCTGCTGTACCGAATGTGTCCGCCTTCCCGCGCTTGCACAAAGCATCCCATGCATGCATTCTGAGTCAGTCTGGCTGTGTTTCTCGTCGAGTGAACATTACCTAGAGCTTTCATACAAAACATCTCATAATAATCCATTGTTTTTTTGTGCTTGTTTATTGAGTGTGACTGCTAAATAAGCCATGGGGCCAAAGAAAGTTCCAAGTGCCAGCCCTTTGATAAAGAATGCGAGAAATTGTGGCCAGAATGTGTCCAAGAGAAGGATTTTGAAGGGTTTGAGGCTGACCCTGACAACCCTACACCCATTATGGAAACTCTTGTGGCTTTGGGGAAGTCTATGGGGTTGGATTTGAGTGGCCAGGATGTGGAAGAGTTGGTGGATGACCACAGGGAAGACCTAACCACTGAAGAGCTGCAGCATCTTCAACTGGAACAGCAACAGATCACAGCTGAAGAAATTGCTTTAGAGGAGGAGGAAGAGAGAGGGAAGAATGTGCCTTCTTCAGTGATTAAGGACATGTGTGCAAAGTGGAGTGAGTTGCAAAGTTTTGTGGAGAAGTATCACCCTAACAAAGCTGCTGCAGTGTCTGCAACATGTTCAATAACAATGCCTTGTCCCATTTTAGGCAAATCTTAGAGACCCCAGAAACAGATCTCTCTGGACAGATATTTTGTGTGACAGGTCCAGTGACTCAAGCTGGTCCTAGTGCCAGTAAAAAATAAAGGAGGGAAGTAACCCTGGATGGGGACTTGATACCTGAAGTCCTTATGGAAGGGGATTCCCCTTCCAAACAATAAGCTCTTTTTCCTTTTCCCTCCTCGCCATCTTCCATATGCCAAAATGAGTCTTCAATAAGGGTAAGAGTTATGTTAAATGTTCATTTATCCATTTCATTAGTCCTTTATATTCATTTCTCAGTGTTTTCTGTATGTAAAACTATAGTCATTCTCTATAAAATGTATTTTTAGTTAATACTTTTGGGAGTATGGAACTGATTAATTGGATTTACATTATTTCTTATGGGAAATACTGCTTCAGTTTTCATCGAGTTCGGTTTTTGTCAGGCTTTCTGGAACGAATGAAAGATGAAAACTGAGGTTCCACTGTATTTCTATGTAAACCTAAATGGGTTTTGAAAGACAGTTATATCAAAATTAAGTAGACAGAGAAAATAAATTTATAGTTTCTCATTATTACATCTATTAATAAGCTCATTAATGTTTTATGGGGTGGATCATTAAGGCAGCAGAAGATTTCAGTCAAGTGAACAAATGTTCCATTGACCAAGACCAATACCTGCAGAAATTTTGTTACATATTCTGGGAAATAAAATACAGTGGACCCCCGGTTAACGATATTTTTTCACTCCAGAAGTATGTTCAGGTGCTAGTTCTGACCGAATTTGTTCCCATAAGGAATATTGTGAAGTAGATTAGTCCATTTCAGACCCCCAAACATACACGTACAAACACACTTACATAAATACACTTACATAATTGGTCGCATTCGGAGGTGATCGTTATGCGGGGGTCCACTGTACTACCATTATTGATTTATAATTGGCAGTTGAAATATGGTACACAAACTAACACTAGTGCCAGGTTTATATTCTGTACCAGGAATCAGCATGTATTACACATGTAGGCCTCCGACACAATGGTTAACCAAATACTGTGGACCCTCGACCAACGATGGCATCGACTAACGTTAAATCCGACCAGCGATACATTTTAACGCAAAAATTTTGCCTCGACTAGCGCTAAAAAACTCGACCAACACTATTCGTTCCGTCTGAGACACGTCCACTTCTGGCCAGTGTTTACAAGCCAGCCAGCCACAGCAGTCGCTTCCAAGCATACAATCGGAACATTTCATGTTATCACAGCCTTTTTAGTGATTGCAACTGCAAAATAAGTCACCATGGGCCCCAAGAAAGCTTCTAGTGCCAACCCTACAGCAAAAAGGGTGAGAATTACTATGGATATGAAAAAAGAGATCATTTGCTAAGTATGAAAGTGGAGTGCGTGTCTCCGAGCTGGCCAGGTTGTACACAAAACCCCAATCAACCATTGCTACTATTGTGGCCAAGAAAACGGCAATCAAGGAAGCTGTTCTTGCCAAAGGTGCAACTATGTTTTTGAAACTGAGATCGCAAGTGATAGAAGATGCTGAGAGACTGTTATTGGTGTGGATAAACGAAAAACAGATGACAGGAGATAGCATCTCTCAAGCGATCATATGTGAAAAGGCTAGGAAGTTGCACGAGGATTTAATTAGAAAAATGCCAGCAACTAGTGGTGATGTGAGTGAATTTAAGGCCAGCAAAGGTTGGTTTGAGAGATTTAAGAATCATAGTGGCATACATAGTGTGATAAGGCATGGTGAGGCTGCCAGTTTGGACCAAAAAGCAGCTGAAAAATATGTGCAGGAATTCAAGGAGTACATAGACAGTGAAGAATTGAAACCTGAACAAGTGTTTAATTGTGACACTGACAATGTTGTGAAACACTTTAGGAATGTCATAAAGGAATGGGAGGTACAGGCCTCTATGGACAGATATGTTGTGTGACAGAGGTCCAGTGACTCTCAAGCTGGTCCTAGTGGCATTAAAAGAAGAAGGGAAGTAACCCCGAAAAAGGATTTGCCACCTCAAGTCCTAATGGAAGGGGATTCCCCTTCTAAACACTAACACCATCAACACTCTCACCTCCTCTCATCCCATCAATCATCACCAGATCTTCAATAAAGGTAAGTGTCATGTAACTGTGCATGTCTTCTTCAGTTTGTGTGTATTAAAATTAATATTTCATGTGGTAAAAATTTTTTTTCAATACTTTTGGGTGTCTTGCACGGATTAATTTGATTTCCATTATTTCTTATGGGGAAAATTAACTCGACTCACGA